TCTAGTTATACACTGCTAACTTAGGGACTGCTAGGGCAGATAACCCTCGTGCAGCTTTGCGCGAAATTCAAAACAAACAAACAATAGAATTAGATAAAAAACATGATAAAATTTACTTATGTGTACTATTTTTATACTATAAAACTCTATTTTTCTATATACATTATATATATGTGTAATTATATGTACATATATTAAATTTCTTCCTACACTTGATGTAGGAACGAGGAACTTAGTTATCACCAGTGTAAAACAGAATTATAGTGGTAATCTATATAACATCTTAACTATCGTATCATATATTTGTGGCTAATGTTTTTCCCAATGTCAGGGAGACATTTACAGTTGTTAAATGAGGATGGGGAGACAACTTAATTCTTATAAATTTAATTGCTGGTGGTTAAACTATAGAAGTGCAGCCGCTTCTCACGCTGTGGTTTTTAAATCTTACGTATGTTTGTCTTCTGTTCTCAAAGGTAAAACGCTGCTCAACAAGCAATCTTTCTTGTTTTTTGTTCTGTCTAGTGACGTCAATTAATGCCGTTTTCTGTTAATTCAAGTATATATATTTAATCATCTATTCATTAATTTCTTACGTTACTTTACATCAGTTTTATTTTACTCTATGAACAAATTGTGCATTTTTCGTGGTCATCGTTTTCTGCCGGACCAATTTTAAATTTCCCGCTTAATAGCAGGATCTAACTACATGTTCAATATTCCCTAACCAGAAAGACAATTTGACATATAAAATAGATGTTGGAGTTTAGTATACATATTATAACCTTTAAAATATTGAACAATCTTAATAATTATTTAAACAAAGAGATCAAGATTCAATATCTGACGTGACGTTACGATACCTCATCTTTTCCCCTTCTTTTGTTATAAAACTTGAATTAAGCTATACTAACTAGCCTTCTTATCATCACTATACCTCTTAAAGTTACTGATTACTATAAATAGCATAACTAGAATGTCACAGAGAGATTGCAGTGTTTTTGACTTTTGTAGTAACCGATCTAAAATTATACCAAACAATTCCTAGGCCTCGAATATGCATGTATATATACCAAAATCTTATTTCTATCTCAATTTGTTCTCCGGGTTTGATCTTTCTTTCAAAATCCCAATTTGCTCTCACTAACAAATGTAGCTGGCCATCACTGTGACCTTGACCTTTGACATACATTCATCAAAGTTAGTCAAATGGTTCTTGAGGACACTCGACCTTTGTACCACATTTGGTCAAAATCAGACAAAACTTTTAAAGTTATGTGGCTGGCCTTCATTGTGACCTTGAACTTTGCCCTACGTTCACCATAATTGTCCCTTGGTAGACGCTTAAACCCTTTTTAAGAATTTGATCAAAATCAGATGAAAACGTTTTAGTTACACTGTTCGCACACATATACACACAGAGGGTTGAAAAACAATAACCCTACCGTCGGGCGTGGTTACAATACTTGCATATCAACACTCTATTCATAAAGGTATGTAATATATATGTGTGTGTGTGTGTATGGGTGATATTTTTTGCCCAAATTATCGTGTCATAGGAACATTTTACATGTAGCTAACAGAACTATCGACTATTTATTGAGACTGGAACACGTCCGAAGCTCAGGAACAGAATAAGAACGTAAAAAACAACACGAATTTCGAAAACAAAGGTAAAAATGTTGAGTTAGCTGTAGTACTGGTAAAGGTTATTGGTGCGATAAATGTGTCTTCTACACTTCTGAAGTACAAAGACGCTGTCCCATGAAAGCAGCTTGCCATCTTCAAAATATTAACACTACCTAAATATCAAGATCAGTTCAATGAAACAAAATATGCTTTTATATGGTCTATTACCCACCCCAACCCTTCAAGCACCAAAGCGAATTTTGAATAAAAGCGAGTTATTTAATTTAAATAACATCTGCTGAGTTATCTGAAGGCCAAAGATTGATGGATTCAGAAGATTCCTCCAGGGTAATAGAATTGAGTAATGCTTTAGTAATTATTATAGTGGAAGCTGACACAAAATTTCGAGGGCCAAGTTCGGTTACAAGCAAATTTGCTTTACTTGAGCCACCTGGTAACTGAAAATCGGTGAAGTCCGCAAAATTATGTAGCATCAATACTGCAGTGATTTATCACCAGTCTTTTCCAACTAGTTTTTCTGTCTTATCAGCGTGGACCAAGACATCTTCGGTAATAGACCTTTCTCAAGTACTGTGTCATATCTTAACATTTTGATGATGTGTGTACTGCTTTGTTGCTTTTTGAGATCGTTTTGGGTTTCTACACATTGAATTAGCGCGCGTTAAATAGCTGAAAGTGGATAGAATGATTGACGACTTTGCGCAGCTGAAAGCCCTAAATGCGAATTCAACTAGAAGTAATTTATTTAATCCAAAAAAATTGCTGTAAATGATTACTGGTCAGAGGAGTACGGCCAATTCTAAAATTATATTTAAGGCCCAAATTTGATATATAAACCAATGAGAAAAAAAATAAGTGTTACAAGTAAGAAATGTCGGTTTGAATGAATCATAAAATATATTTGATGTTTCTGTTGGTATCGCATGTGAAAATGCTCTCGACAAATTGAACAGAAAATTGGTACCAAATAAGTCCTCCAGTGGATCAGCAGTACGTTTACGGACTTACATTGCTAAAATCCGAGTTTGCAATCAACTCATTGTGTAGATTTGCGCAAAAATCAAACAATTAAACAGTACTAAAGAATCACAGTACGCTTATCGTGTAGTTATATCATTAACCACGCGTCACATACCTTTACCAACAAGTTGTTGTTATTGTGTTTTGCGCAAACTACACAGTGGGCTATATGTGCTCTGTTCATCGCGGAGAACGGTTTATTTGGTTGTTTTGCTGTTAATTTTGCACAAAGATACTCGAGAGAGCTACCTGCACTGATCGTCCCTAATTTTGAAGTGATGGACTACAGGGAAGACAGTCTGTCAACACCACACAGCGCCAAAACTTGAGCTATTTTTTACCAACTAATAGTTGGATGACTCTCATATTATAACGTTTCCATGGCTGAAAGGTCGAACATTTTCGATGATGGGATTAGAGTCGAGCGCCCTAACCACCAGGTCGTACGGGGAATGGAACCCCAGATTTTTAGTTTGAAAGTCCTTAAACTTTCCCACTAGGCTAGTAGGCTAACACTGTGGAATCTGAATTTACCTGCTCTTTATCTTGTTCTTTTGGTATTTAATTGTAAACGCTTGTTTTCTATCAACATATAGTGTTTACTTAGTCGATAAAACTTTGTCGTGCCACTTTCTGATGCTTTGTTTAGGTCGAGAGGTTATTCATCTTTGAAAAACAATGATATGTTTATAAATATGATAAGTCAGTGAAAGCCTAGAACAAGTCCTATTCGGATAAAGCGTTAGCTGGACGTTTTGAAGGCTATTTCTTTCTGATTAAAATGTTTTACTCAGTTAAAACTGTTTGATATTTCAAATTGTTTCGAACACATACACTAACATGTATAACAAAAGAATATTAAGGTATTGTTGAGCCATTTTTAATTAGTTTATGTCAAAAGTTTTATTCAAGTTGATGTTGTCTTTCATACATAATGTTAAAAGTTTTATTCAAGTTGATGTTGTCTTTCATACATAATGTTAAAAGTTTTATTCAAGTTGATGTTGTCTTTCATGCATAATGTTAAAAGTTTTATTCAAGTTGATGTGTCTTTCATACATAATGTTAAAAGTTTTATTCAAATTGATGGTGTCCTTCGTATATAATGTTAAAAGTTTTATTCAAGTTGATGGTGTCTTTCATACATAATGTTAAAAGTTTTATTCAAATTGATGGTGTCCTTCGTACATAAAGTTAAAAGATTTATTCAAATTGATGGTGTCCTTCGTACATAATGTTAAAAGTTTTATTCAAGTTGATGGTGTCCTTCCTACATAATGTTAAAAGTTTTATTCAAGTTGATGGTGTTCTTCATACATAATGTATATATTAAATTTATGTTACTATATTTGTTTTAAAACTGGACAAAGAAATACGAAAGTAGCTATTTATTTTCATTATAGTAACTTAGAATAAAATTTCTTATCGGAGAAGGTTATATGTTTATTTGTTTTTAACCACAAACCTACACAATGAGGCATTGGTGATGCTTGTATATATATATTAGTTATTAACATCACGAGAAGAAAGTACCTATTACTTTGACCCCAAACGACAAGGAATGTCCACATATGAGTACAGAAAAATTAGCTCGAACATTTTAAAAATAATAATAATTATTTTTAATAAGACTTTGGGCTCGATACGAAAGTTCGTCAAGGCAACTAATATAAACCATACATAAAGCCTCGTTAAATATTTGTCTTGGAAAGTAATATTACTAAGCCGAAGTATAATTGTGTTAGCGTAACATTTATTTCATTTCAAACTTTATGAGTTGAAAACATATTGATTTCTCGTTAAGGTAATTAAGTTATTAACTGACAAAAAAAAAGAAACCGAACAGAACAGAATTAAATCAATGTTTAAAGATGATGTTTCTCAAAACAGATTAAAATTATAAATAATTTCTAGCACGTACTTTAGGGTTGATTTTTTCTGTTATGCTTCACCAATAATTCATATATCCTCTCCAAGTTAGTTTTACATAGTAAAAGCTCAACAACTTATAATTAAATATTTTTTTAAATTTCATTTGATAATTAAAATATTGACACTTATGACAATTTTTTAAAGTTCAGAACGGTTCAAAGAAGATATTGATAAATCCAATTAATTTCGTTCATGTAATCGTATATATTAATCCTTTAAGGCAATTATAACGATTCTAACAGTTTACCAGTTATTTATTTCTAATTTTTAATTTGTCTTTTCAGATAATCGAGAACGACGTTTATACGATGTGGGAAATTGGCAAGAGACTAATTCCACAGGTTAAATCGCTCTCGCATTTGGCCTTTAAATTTTATGTTAAACCTAAATTGAATATAACCTAGTTATTTCATGGTTTCAGTTACATTTGTGATGTTTCTTGTATCTATATAATTACAGAAATGATCCTGAATGATAAACTCCAAAACATTACGAAGTACCTCACTGTAATAAAAAATTTATAGCTTGATTAATGTTATCAAAAACACAAGATAATTTCAAACGAACCGGGAATTTGTGTCAAAATGTTGTATATTGCTTATTTATATATATCATTATGTTGTTTATTTCCACACTGTAGTGCTACGACCTATAAATAAATCACGCAGAAATATTAGATAATTCTCAAAATATTATTAAACAATATATTTAACCACAAGGCAACCATCTTGTCATTTTTGTAGTTTAAATAGTTATGCGCTATTAAAATGTTTACAACAGTTACTCGCCTGTTATAATAGTGTATTGGTTATGATTTATCACATTTTTCAGTAATATTTTCGAAATAAGCTGTTGGCTGCTTAAAATCGTGTATTTAGCTCAGGAAATCTTAACGAATTAAAATACAAATTAAAAGAGTTTCAAACTGAACGAAAACGTAAAGTTTCTTGAATGTCCTAAAACCTTTGCACTAATATTCCAATATTTGTAAAAGCAAGTATGGGATGACGTTAGTAGACTCTTAAAACGTGAAATTATGATTGTTGTCCAATATAAAGCTTGGATGTGAAGAGGACCAAGTTAGTTACTTTAAGAAATCATTTAACAAACTGGCCGGAACATTATAAAACTAGGCTGTGTAAGTGTGGGGTGTGTTTGATGCAAAATATGATTTTTATGATCAGAAGGTGACAATTTTCTACCCTATAAAAATGATTTTTTATTAGTATAAATATAATTCACAGTAAATTGATACCATCAGGAATTTTCCGCTAAAGTTTAGAACAATCTAAATACACACTAGATGATTTTCCATAATACTTATTTATTTGGACTAGTTTAAATATGTTAAAGTTATACTCGCTGATAAAAAAATGTACCTAACTTTTAAACTCTAGAGATATTTGTGTGCACATAAAATATCAAAGTAACCAAAGCTGCAGAAACGATTCGTGTATTTAGAAATGCAAAACAGAATGTGTGGAGCTTGTGAATTAAACAGCGTTTAAGACTTCTCTATTGAAGCTAATTACTGATTTACATAAATAGTTCTATTTACGATGCATGTCTAGTTTCTACTTATTAAATTTTCATATAAACAATGGTTATATATGCATTTACAAACACTGACGAAACAAACACAATTGCGATGTTTGCAAGAACTGACGTTATCCAAAATACAACCTTTGTTAATTACAGCGGTTTAAACAAAGAGAACAATGTTATGCTACAGTCGTTCTATCTATTATATTATAATGTTATTGACTTCGTCTTATTTACAACTGTGCTCGAATTCTTTGTTAGTTTGTTTTTCATTTTCGCCCAAAGCTACACGAGGGCTATCTGCGCTAGCCGTCCCTAACTTTGCAGTATAAGACTAGAGGGAAGGCAGCTAGTCATCACCACCCACCGCCAACTCTTGGGCTACTCTTTTACCACCGAATAGTGGGATTGACCGTCACATTATAACGCCCCCACGGCGGAAAGGGCGAGCATGTTTGGTGGGACGGGAATTCAAACCCGCGACCTTCAGCTTGCGAGTCGAGCTCCCTAACCACCTGGCCATGCCGGGCCCGACTTCTTTGTAAATCTTATTTCTAGTGACATGTTACCAAACGAAAATTTCAAATATGAGTTTTTTTTTTCGGATTTAAGACTTTACATAACAACTATAAAGTAATACACTTGTTATTAATTTGATATATGTCTCATAACTCGCTTAAAACCTTTACAGTCGTGTTAAGCCAGCTCAATTTCGGGAAGGAAAAAATCATATTTGAAATTTTGTACTTGAAACAATATATCAGTACGTGATACAAACAGAAAGCTGTTAGGATTACTAAATTCTCTGTCTTAATTATTGTATTTTTTAACATCACTTTAAATGTCTATTTAATGGATCGTAGCATGTTTTGTCTGATTTATTCTAGTTCTCAAAGATATTGCCCGGCATGGCCAGATGGTTAGGGAGTTTAAATCCCCGCCCCACCAAACATGCTCGCTCTTTCAGCCGTGGGGGCGTTATTATGTTACGGTCAATCCCACTATTCGTTGGTGAAAGAGTAGTCCAAGAGTTGGCGGTGGGTGGTGATAACTAGCTGCCTTCCCTCTAGTCTTACAGTACTAAATTAGGGACGGCTAGCGCAGATAGCCCTCGTGTAGCTTTGCGCAAAATATCAAAGATATTTTCCCTTTAAAACAAGTTAGAAAAGATAGCTTTTTTCTACAAGACAGTAAGTATACATTCCATGCATCCTATATCCAACAGAAAAACTTAATAACAAGGATTTGCTCAACAAATGACGATAAAGACGGCTGGTCATAAAATTCAAATTTACAATATCGACTGAAGTACTAAAAATTAAATTTATACTTGATTTTAGGCTAATAGTTTCTAATTGCAAACATGATTTTTCTTCAGTACAAGTTTCACGTTCTTTGTTTTTTTTAATATCACGAGCCACAGCCCTTTCTTTGATTTTGTTTTATATTATTTAAGAAATAAGGATTTATAAGTAATATTTAAAAGACGATGACATATAATTACACCTTAATTACATATTTATGAGTTTAAATATTTCACAACCTCAATTTATTAAACACTCCAAATCGCTTTATTCCTATATGAACAGAAAAGTAATTACTTTTACTGTTAGCATTTGTTTGAAAAATTGATTTAAGCTGCTAATAATAAGTTACTCTATTGCAAACACTCTAAACTATAACAATTTTGTCTAACATAATCTCAACTATACACTGGGTACTTTTTATACTTGGTAAATGAATCCACAGTTAGTTATAAGACTTATGTTTTTATCAATAAATATACACAGTGGGATATTCAGTTTCAAGATGGCTCTAGATTAATTGAAAAAGGTGTAAAATTCTTATACATAAAGCTAGACTTTCCTTTTTATTATTAGTACTAACTTATCAAAAGTGTAAAAAATGTTAATCACAATGAACAATGCCTTCAAACCCTTTCATAACGTTTAAAATTCCTGCATGATAACAAAATATTCAATTCAACTATTTTGGTAAGAAAATGTTATTAAAAGAAATAAATCATAGTAAATGTACTTACAATATTTTTATGATTTACTTTTTTTTATAGTCTTCAAACACTATAGTTAAATGCCACCTTTAGGATCTTCTCACTCCACTTTAAGGAAAAAATAAGTATGATCTACTTGCCCTACACCATACCAATAAAAAAAAACATTATTATGACGTTTCAAGTCATGGAAACATGTAGAGTGTATTAAACTGTTCACAGTCTCACAGTATGTTATCTTTATACAGTACAATTATTCAGAAAAACAATTTTTATTGTATTTTGAGACTAGTCTTATTTTTTAGATAATTATTGGATACTATTAATGTTGGCTTTATTCCTTTAATACATTTGTGTTCATAGAAACATGCCTAACCAGCACCCTGAGAGAAAATAACATTTTTCTGTACATAATTTGCTGATTTTCTGTACCCAAGTACACCTAGTTGCTGATTGTTAAATGGTAGTCTTTGGCAGTAGAAATCTAATATACACAAAATTTTTTATGAAAATAAAGTAAAATTTCTTACTTGTGTCATACTCTTGCACCTAATACGGACATGAAATAAATAAAACTAGTAACATGTAACTATATGTCCTGTCACCAAAGCCCTCAAAACACTAAGCGATAGATGGTGATATTTAGCAGAACATTATCAATAGAAAAAATATATCTATTAATGAACTAGTGCCTATTTACTGTTTTCATATTAAAAACATTCATGTCACTTTGCAAAATTTTGTATGTTGTAGTATCTTTCCCAAAAGCCATCTTTGACTTTATCCTGTTCCTTTTCCCCACTGTGTTAGGCCTTCAAACCTCTTGAAAGTATAATTGATGAATATCCAATCTTTATAGCCTGGCTGTTTATTCTTGGATGATGGTGCTGCAGGTGATGAAGCAAAACAAGTATTAATAATTACCCTGTCCAATTGAATATGTCTAAATCTTTTATAAGAGTAGTCGTTCCCATTTACTAGTTTGGTTTAATTGTTTAAAATCAAGAATAAGTTATATAAAGACAAACAGAAATATTTTTGCCATAAATACCAACTACTATATAAAATGATATTTATATATGTTAAAAAACATGAACATGTAGTAAGCAGATATAAAAATGGTTTTCAGTAATTGTTACCTTCAATTTCTAGTATATATTCTTACTCTTCCAAAACATACTGCCCTGCTGAAGAAGGATTACTTAGAGGAGAAAAAAAGTTATGAAATGGCCAATCCAATACAAAATGACTAACCCAATACTATTCTTACTGAAAATTTATGGTATCAATTGAAAAATAATTTGTTGCCAGAGAGATGCATGCAAGTAATCTATGGAAAAACCAACATTTCTTTTGTATTAATTTTCATATAACAGATACCCTATATGTCAATATTTAACAAATTGCAACACTATCAGAAATATAATTTGTATTTGTTTCGAGAACAAAACCTACCAATCTTCAAGTCTACATCTGGAAAATCATCAAAATTCGAAGTGTCATCTATACTTTTGACTTCTAATGGTATGGCAGCGGGTCTTTCTCTAAAATAGAAGTAGACTATATGTTAAATTCACATTCAATTTTCCAAAAGTCTATATTTTTATATTTTTTCCACTGAATTTATTTACTTGAAATATTGTTTTATTCAAACGTTTTTCATACCCTTTAATACCTGTAGCATTTACCAGAAATATTAAACATGTAGTCTCCAAATTTTTGACATATTCAATTCTTTATAAAACTTTGTCAAAATATGGCCTCTATTCAAAAGCCAAAAAAATAAACAATTCTATCAATTGTCTTTGGTGGAAGCAAACTGAAACAATACACATACACAGATTGGCATTAGATGCACACCTTTCATAATTTAAAAATAACACTATACTTAAACCCATCTATACACACACCGAATATGTTCCCAGTCAACATCGCTGAAAAACGGGTGTTGTAGTATCTCTTCAACATCTCCATTGAGACCAATTCTTGTTTCCACTTCACTACAGAACCTCTGAATTAAGTCCATTGCTTCACTGGAGATTGGTATTTCAGGAGGAAACACTAAGGTTTCTTTAAAGTTTATCACTTTCATGAAAGTTTCTTCACGTGTTTCAGAACAAAATGGAGGATATCCTTGGAAGAACAAAATACATATTATTTAATATTCTACATCAGTTGACTTGAAAGTCATCCTGATAATTGAAATTTCCAATTTATTACATGAACATGAAAGATTCAACTGACATTTTTAATCCTTTGATAACCACATGTTCCAATAGGAATTTATAAAATATTGTTACGTCTCCGTTTGTTAATTGATTTTTCCGTAACTTCGTTCCGACGAAATTTTAACGACACCAGTCTTTACTTAATAAAACTGGTTTATTCTTTCCGAATATAACTTTACCGATACACTCAACTTCAACAATCGCACTAAACAAACGCTATAACAACGAACGTCAATAATACTTCTGGCTGCAGTTCAATTACTCACTATCTATACACACATTACCTCCATCACGTTGTCCCCTCTTATATATACCCGACTATCCTATCTAGTAAATACTAGAGCATTCCTGAAAGAACAAGATAGTTCTAGAAACTAGAGGGCGCCACACCAGTCACGTGACCTCGATGACGCAACAATATTATTGTGCACTAACTCTTAAGCCCACTGATAAAATATAAGATTATTCAGGTATAAGTATTTAAAGTGTTTAAATCCTTAATTAAACATTTTATAAAATGCATTTTTGTAAAAGTTATATTACTGAGGTCAGAAAATACATAGTGATAAATACAGAAATATTTTGCAGTTTTACTGATTATAATATAGGTTGATAAATAAAGGTGATACGTTTTTTTCAAAAGCATTTATTCTTTTTTCTCACTATTATGTTTTTTATTTCATCTTTTTGCTATTTCAACAGCAGATGAATAAATGTTTAAACAATATTCACCTAACAGTTTGTAAGAAAATGGAGTTATACATTACAATAGAGCTGGATTTCAATGTTGTTTTGACAAATTTTAATATTCTCTTATGTTTAACTGCACAAATTTAAGTACATTAATACATTACAAAAAATGGTATTATTCCTTAGGTTTGTGTGAAATTTGAAGCAAAATATTTTTTTAGACAAGTAAATCAAATACATATTTTACAAATTCTGTAAATTCATGAATGACTTTGACATCTACCCACATAAGAGTTCAAAAATCTCACTTCAAACTGGCAAGTAAATTAGGCCAGATGCATTAATTATCTGTGAGAAATTTCATAACATAGTTGAAGCATCTAGGTACTGCATTTTTGATAAAGGATATTCTTATTCACAAATAGTTTACTCTTATAATTCCTAGTGAAACTTATTACATTGAAATTAATGGTAAATAAATATCTTTAAACATTATTCACTGTCTTGTTTTTTTGTTTGTTTTTGTTTTTGAATTTTGCGCAAAGCTACACGAGGGCTATCTGTGCTAGCCATCCCTAATTTAGCAGTGTAAGACTAGAGGGAAGGCAGTTAGTCATCACCACTCTTGGGCTACTCTTTTACCAACAAATAGTAGGATTGAACATAACATTATAATGCCCCCACGGCTGAAAGGGCGAACATATTTGGTGTAACGGGGATTCGAACCCACAACCCTCAGATTGCGAGTCAAGCACCCTAACCACCTGGCCCTATTCACTGTCAAAAAGAGCATTTGATACCATTATTGAAGTTCATCAGCATGTTCTGAAAAACCTCAAAGAAATACTTCCATTATATATGCTTTTTTCTTTAAATGAATATGGCATTTTCTGTAGCTAAGAAAAAATCAACAATGATATGCAAGAATAAAAATCACAGTTCTCTATAATACAACTCTGTTTAATGTCATACATTTCAATATACAAGATGAAAGATAATCATCTAGCTTTACTTTGGCAAAATGCAAATTTACCTAGATCACCATGAAAACGTTAAAGTCTGATTTTACTTTTCCCATTGCAAAATACATATGTAAAACTTTTATGATTTTCACAATAACAAATACTGTATGTACAATTAAAAAGGCAACTTTACATGAAAATGTGATGCAGTAACACACACTGTGCAAAAAATTGTCTTTTCTGATGGCAGTGATGAGTCTGCCAAAGCTACGCGGCTAAACAACTGGAATAAATCTTTTTTTAAATAAGATATCACTTCATACTTTGCCTGGTCCTACTCTAGAAACTTGTTCCACTCATGAATAATCTTGAATAGTCAGCATGGACTCAAACTTTGAAGTTGATATTGTACAATAAGTGAGAAAGAGATATTGGACATATCAAGTTGAATTTGCTACAAGTCACACATATAAAGACAGCCTATAATTTCAATGGTCCAATTTTCATTTCTATGACAATTGTTTATGAAGCATCATAAAATAAATTTGATTTATTACACTTTCAATAGAAATCATACAAAATTGTCTTTCATTCAGTATATATATATTTCTAGAGCCGGGATGGCCAACTTCTTTGTGCCCGTGAGCCAGTTTCTTTCCTACACTCTAGTACAGAGATATACATTCAGGATATTTGCTTCATTTAAAGTTTAATTTCTACTTTATACTGTAGATCCTCAGTTACTTATACTAAAAATTCAAAAAAGTATTCCAAACCATCACAGAACTGATTTGCTTGCTCGGAGTTTCATTTTCTGTTTTTGTTTTGCCAGTTGGTCAAAAATAAAATATTATATGAAATTAAAAAAAAAACAGGGCCAGATAAAATACCTCTGCAGGCTGGATCTGGTCCACAGACTGCCAGTTGGCTATCTGTGTTCTATAAAATGTTATGGAGAAGAACTGTTGAGGACAGTGTTTGAATGGTGTTTCAAATTCAATGTTAAGTTATTCTTCAGATCTGGAAAAACATGGGGATTTGAATTGTATACAAGGTCAGGAGCAGAGTGTTGTTTCTTACATTAGGACTAATCATAGAATTCATGAAATATCTATGGAATACTTTAACTAAACTTTTAAAATTGTATTGGAACACATTATGAAGATAATGAGAAGCAGGTATGACACTTAAAAATATTTTAATACTGACACAAAATTCAATTTTTAGCAGTATAGAACACCTATGTATACATAATTATTATATTATCTAATCAAAAAACCAATAGATTATACACACCAATTAACATCTCATACATGATGACACCAAGAGACCACCAATCACAAGCACTAGTATATCCAGTTTTAATAAAAACTTCAGGTGCAATATAGTCTGGTGTTCCAACAGTTGAATATGCCTATTTTATAAGAAAAATATAAGACTTTACATAGGAAAGCATATATATATGTATATATATATATATATATATATATATATAATGTATATATAAAATATAGAATTAAAGGTTCACAGTAGTGGATAGCCCAAAGTTGAAAAACTGCTAAGTATATGACATTGAGACATTAATGTTTACTCTTTTATATGAACATATTTAGGAATTTAATTTGATTTAACTCACACTTTTAATAGCCTCAAAAAGTAGTGTCAAATCAGTTTTTGGTAAATTAATGTATTTCAACAAACAGAGGCAGAACTATCTGTACTTGCTAACTCACCAGCTTGTCTAAAAACTACATCTGCTCCTTATTTTATAAAACTTATTTTGTACGTAGATTTAACATAATAGAAACTAAAGGAAAATTACATTTAAAAAATATCTTTCCTATAATAAGTTGTAAACAACAATTAATTGATACCAGTGATGGGCAGTAGTTAACTAGTACTTTATAGTTATTAATAGTAGCTTATGAACAGAATAAGCAACCTACTTAAATTAAAAACTGTTGCTGTTGTTTTTTTTTTAGTGCAGAACTACACAATGCATCAGCCATCTTCACTGATCCCCTAGAACTAGATAAAAGTTACCTTTATGTATTTGCTTGCTCAAAAAACACAAGATCTGGACAATCAGCAAATTGATCTTCTTGATCCCAATGTAGGTCAGATGACCACAGCATAAACACAAGAAGACCACTAGAGTAATTAATATTAACTCCCAATCAGAGCAAGCTACCTACTTAGATCAAAAACAAAACACAAGAGGTATATATATAAGCATGTTGGTTTTCTTGACACGAGAATGGGTAGTATCAACAATAGGAAAAAACCACAAGAGTAATTTATATTAACTCCCAATCAGAGTAAGCATCTCCTTAGTTCAAAAATAACTGTTTGTTTCATAATTTTCAAGCTACATGAAAGAATACTTGTACATAGCCATTACTAATTATATAGCCAAGGGAAGGATGTATAAATAGCACCCATCACTGACCCTTATCTGACTGAACAGCGGAATTTGACTGCTACCTTTATAGCCTGAACACCCACAGTCCTAAAGTGCAGAGCATGTTTTCATAGTAAACTGTCATCATACATGAATCTTGGATTTATAGTCCAAGCATACTAACCATTAGAAAATGCCTGACCCCTACACAAAAACTTTATCATAATGTTGAAGAAGAGTTGAAAAAGCAGTTAGAAAACTATGAAAAAAGTTATTAAATAGTTTACTTAAATCGCTCTTTGGTAAAAAAAAAAAAAAGTAATTGAAAATACAAAGAAAGTATTGTATTAGTAGTTAAGTTTTACTACAAAAAAAAGGCAATTTGTACCTATCCCAGATTGAATCTAATGCTAATGAATAATAAGGAGTTTCGTTCTAAAAGTCATACAAACCAAATATCATATATATATGAATGGACCTATGACAGTTTGACAAAATTATATTTTGAAATATTTTACACTTATCACTATATAGGAGCAAAATTGTTTCCAAAATTCTTGTGCTGTTACAAAAAAATATATCAAAGTAAGTATTTTGGGCTGATCAAAGTTAAGAATCAGATTTTCATTCTTTCTCTATTAGTAAAAGTAATTATAGTGATTATCACACACTTTATTTTAGGCCATATTAATAGCACTTCTACTGGCTAGCCACTTTATTAAACCCTTACCTAATATTGGGTTACACTTTCTTTTTAATTATAATTGCCTGGATTTCATATGGCACAGACTTTATAAGATACTGGAAGATGTTTTAGTTGATTGTAGCCTATTTTTCAAGGACCTTGGTCTGTAACTGATTTACAGATGTCAACACAGAGCTAAACCAGTAAATTTGCCATTCAAGTTCATTTCAAAAATGCTCAAATGGATGAAAATTATGTGAATATGCTAGCCAAGAAAGATGACTGTAGCATGTTCTACCTGTTAACAAAGACTTTATTCATTCATTCATTATATTGTGTTTACTTTTTTTCCTTTGATGTATATGTTAATCTTATTCTCTGCATGACATTTTCAGAGTCTGCTTTATGGCCTAAACTTGATACCTCTCTGGTGGAAATTAGTGTATCTGAATACCACACCCACACAATTATATCACTTCCAGCAGTTTGCAATAACAGAAAAAAACATAGTTAAATAGTTCATGTAATTTTCTCCATAATTTTACCATCACTAAAAAGCAACTCATAAGGTTACCTCACATGTGTCTGGGCATTCATTGTACAGTGTGCATTCTTAAACAGCCCTAAAACTGTGTTTTCCTGTTTACACAAGAAATAAATGGTCTTTGTACTGGATATGGACTGCAAGTCATATGATAATGATTCATATAGTACAGTTAGAAATAGTAAAATTCTGGGATATATTCTGATGCCTGTTGCACTTTACAAACCTGTCCAGTTGCTCTTTCAGTTGTTTAGGGACCACTAGCTAGTGTCCTTAGTTCTTTTAATGTTAAACATATTACCTTTCAAGTGTCGATGTTTATAGATTTCAAAAACAAACATTTTTGAAAACCTGGTCAATGAAACAGCTTTGATAAGAATACTCCTAATATATAGGTACCTACCACCATGCAGCTTTTCAACTAAGAAAGTTCCTTACTGTTACATATAGCAGACTAGCTATTAACTGAATCTCTACTTTTATGATACTTAAGCTGTCAATCACCTGACATACCATCTAATTAGTCTATCTTACAGATGCAAGTAATGGAGTGTTCTAGAATTGTACGTGCATATGTAAAAATCTTAATAAAATGACCAGTCAGTGTAGTTTGGACATTTTTTGCTTTTCTAAATAATGTTTCTTTAAAAAAAAATTCAGAATTTGGTATAGCTGTTATGATGATTTAATGTAGAGGTTTTTACATTATAAGTAATATACAAACCTTACAATTTAAAAATGCTTGTTGTATTGTATTAAAAGCTATGATTTATGGTCTTGATTTGAGTACTATTCATAAACCATAAAACTAATTAACCTATTAAGACTGATTATATCATTCAGTAGTAGCATAGGATTGTAAATACTACAGCATGCTTATTTAAAAATTAATAAATACAACTATACACATGAACATCTGTGAAACATAAGAGCAGTTTGTAAAGTTTATATTAAAATTGATATTCATATTTCAAGACAATCTCCCATATATATTATAAATACCTTAATTCTGTTAATAAAAAATGTCTATATGTTAATTTTGAATAGATCAAATGGTAAAAATATCCTACTCACTTGAACCCAACAACCTGTGTGAAGTGAAATAATACTGTTAAACTCACCAGCTGCCTTCTGTTCTTTTTCCAGCTTTCTGCTTTTCTTTTAGATTCCATAGGATTGGAAGCTGGATGTCAATATATGAGAAATGGACTTTCGTTTTTTTTCATTATTTTATTTTGGGGTTCCATTAAATTATCTTCAAAATATCGTTAATTTATATTTTCACTATATTCAGTTTTTTTTTTTAATTATAGTTTAAAATATTTTGTTTTTTGCACTAAAAGTATACACACAAAGGGAAGGTACTTACTAAAATCACTCGGTTTTACTTGGGATAAGTTCCTATAGAAATCTGTTCCATGAGATTTTTTCAGTCCTGTACATAATCCAAAATCTGATAATTTTATGTGACCCTAAAAATAAAAAACATAAAATGTACTGATACCTGTTGGCAGCTAATAAGTAGGATACTTAAAATTCAGGCAGCTAAGGAGTAGGATTCTTAAAATGCTAAAAATATATTAAATTTTATGTTCTCTGAAATGTATCTGTCAAAAATTGAAAAATAGATGACAAGAAGTTTCTGAATTATTATAAGCCAGATTTTACTTCTGCATGGTGAACAATAATTTGGTACATAACATTATATTAGCCCTTTCTTACACTATATATTATATGAATCAAAATCTGATAAAACTTTTTGAAAGTCATTACAATTAATATTTGTTCTGATATTTTGCAACAGCAGGTAACCAAGCATATTGTTACGACAGCGGAAGTCATGTGACGCTGGTAACATATCATGAGATTCTCGAAGGATTGTGACTTTTCCTGGCAACTCTAGTCTTTACTAGGCACCCTCTATTTCAGTATATAAGCCCGGCAAATAATTGCAGATAGACAGATATAGAGACAGATAATTGAGTCAAGTGAGCGGTAGTGACCATAAGTAAAGTGCGTGAATCGTTGTGAATTATAGCATGTGTTTAAGTTAAAGTGACTGTGGAAATTCTATGTATTACAAAGTTGTATTGAGAAAGAATAAACTCGTTTTATTTAAGAAAGGACTTGTATCGCTGAAGTTCCACGGGAAGAATTTATACCAGAAATTAACAAACGACCAGAGACATAACAATATTAAGACAGGAAGCAACTTACATCTAAAGTTCATAACTAGGAAAATAATTTATGTTTTAATACTGTAACTATACACAGTTCAGAATCCGGGATGAGCTAAGCTTTTGTCATGTATGTGTATATGCAATAAATTAGTGTCTTCCCTTTACATTAAGAAATTATCAGTAAACTCATCTTTAGATATATCCTTAAATTTATGTATCTACATTTTATTTTAAATCCTTTAATATTGGTTGAGTGGTATAATTAAAGTATTTCTTAAGATTAAATATGTGGTAAAATAATAAAGTATCAATGCAGTATCTGCAAAGTGACTTTTGACAACTCTATTTGAAAAGTAAAATTACAGGAAACATCATACACCAGCTGAATGTTATTTTCCATTATTCAAAATTTTAAAACTCGTACAGTAACACACAAATTTGACATAGGTTTCTAAGCTTATTATATATTTCTTCCAAACATTGTTTTTTGCTGATTTGGTGAACTTACTCTGGCATCAAATAGTATGTTGTCAGGCTTTATATCTCTATGAATAAAGCCCAATGTGTGGATGGAATTAATAGCTAATGCTGTTTCTGCTATATAGAACTGGGTTTCTTCTTCTGACAGAGTGTCTTTCTTCATCAAAAGAGTCATTAAATCTCCTATATGCAGAAAAAAAGTACCTAAACAAACTTTTCAGATTTCACCATAAAATGTAGAAGACTATCTTACTTATACTAAATATACTAGTCACAAAAAATCACATAGAAATAGTAGTATATAATACTCAAGCACCAAATATATTTTCCAGTTATACAACTCAGTTAGAAGATTTACCTTCAAATTATAGCTGGCAAATGTATTATATGACTTTCTTGCATTTGCAATGCTTAATTATAAGTTATCCTAAAATGTTGCTGGAGCAAAAAAGCAACAGCCTTGTCAAGCCACATGAATCACAACAAAAACAACTAAGGCCTACTGTAAAAACTGCTTCAGGAAGATGAAACAGAAGCTAAAATCACTAACACTGGAAAAAAAGAATGAAAAGACTATCATAAGATTCAATAATGTAACATAAAAGACTTTATGACAGTGTAGACTTCAAAGAAGCACATGCTATTAAAGATGAAATGATGAACAAGGTAAGCAGTTGCAAGCTATTCTCATAATGAGTACATGCAAATATATATATATATATATACATATATATATATATATCAAAAGGCTACTACTGTGAGATATATTCTCATGAACAAGAATTTGTATGTAATATTACAAAATGGTAAGTGGTAGTGATGTAAGACAGACTTAACTTGATGAACAAGATGCTGCATATTTGTAGTGCAGGACATGTTAGTTAATAAGACAACTCAAGTTAGATCACCTAAATATATTACTTCCAATTAACCAACCACCATTCAGTCACAACGCTGTTTACAGGTGAGGCAAATACCTGCTCATGCCTTGAATCTAAACCTTTAAACCAAATGTATTTTTTATCATTAACTATGTTTTAGCTGTAATAACATATAAGGGCATAATAAAACATTAGTTAATTGGTACTAGAGCTTCAAACACAACTTAATATTTCTGCATAAGAAAATATGATAATGACTCTTTACTAAACAATAGTGTTACGACAGTGGAAGTCACGTGACGCTGGGAGCATGCACGCTGAAGTTTCTCGAATGATCATGAATTTACCTGGCAGCTCGAGTGTGATCTAGATGCCCCCTTTTTCAGTATATAAGCCTGGCAAAGAAAGCCAGCTGGATATAGATAATTGAGTCAAGTGAACAGTAGCTACATGAGCCATAAATTGTGTGTTTTGCAGTTGAGGTTGTGAATTGCTGTGGTTTATAGTGTTTATTATAAAAGTAGTTAAGTTTAACATACTGATTGTGAAATTATTGTGTGCTAAAAGTTTGTATCAAGGAAGAATAAACTGGATTAATCAGGAAAATACTTGTATTGCTGAAGTTTCTTGGAAATAATTTCTATGGGAAATTAACAAACAAGCAGATACATAGCAAACTGGTGTTATAATTGGGATAGAGAAGAAAAAATGGAAACGAGAAGTTGCAAATCAAACTACGACTTAGCAGATTTGATGGCAGCAATACAAGAACAGCAAAAGAAACAAGAAGAACGAGAAAAGAAATAAGAAGAGAGACAACAGCAGTGACAAGAAAACCTGCAACAGTGGAAGCTCGACCTGCAAAATAAACAAGAGAGATTACAGCCATTGTTGGAGGAAAAAGAAAAGAAACAAGAATAACGAGAAAAGAAACAAGAAGAACAAGAAAATAAACAAGAAGAATGAGAAAATAAACAAGAAGAGAGACTACAGCAGTGGTTCAAGGAGAAAGAAAAGAAACAAGAAGAGAGGCTACAGCAGTGATTGGAGGAGAAAGAAAATAAACAAGAAGAGAGACTACAGCAGTGATTGGAGGAGAAAGAAAATAAACAAGAAGAGAGACTACAACAGTGGTTGGAGGAGAAAGAAAATAAACAAGAAGAGAGACTTCAGCAGTGGCAAGAAAACCAGCACCAGTGGCAACTGGAACAACCAGAGAAACAGCAAGAAAGTCTACCAACAGTTGAGAGAAAGCTAGCATAC